TTCCTGGACACCGCAAATTCCTCAGATTTAGTTATGCCCGACGCCACTACCAGTACAGAGCCCTTCCATTTGGCCTCTCATCTGCACCGAGAGTATTTACAAAGGTACTGGCAGTGATTGCAGCCCACCTTAGACTAATTCCCATCAGAATTCAATGCTATTTAGATGACATTCTAATTCAGTCATCATCATGGCAGAGGGCCCAAGCAGATCTCGCCCTAGCCATCAAAGTTTTGCAGAAGCACGGGTTTTCCGTTAATTTCCAGAAAAGTCAGACTGTACCATCAACTCGGCTCCTCCATTTGGGCGCAGTTATAGACACAGACAACTGCACGGTCTACCTATCTCAGGACCGACGGAACTCTATCCAGACTCTTGTACGTCGGATCCGAAGGGACAGAGTAGTCACATTGGCATCCCTTTCACAGCTACTAGGGAAGATGGTGTCCTGCGTGCAAATTGTGCCATGGGCACGTCTCCATGCCAGGGAATTACAGTGGCTTCTCCTTCCATTTCAGAGACTTCATACCAGCACATCCCACCAGAAGGTCCGAGTTCCACAGACGGTGTTGAACTCCCTTCGTTGGTGGGACTCTCCGGCACTGTCACGGGGAGCAGAATTCAAAGAACCAGACAGGATCACCATCACCACAGACGCAAGCCTATTTGGGTGGGGGGCACACCTCCACACACACTGGGCCCAAGGGCAATGGTCCAGGCAGGATCTAAAGAACAATATAAACTGGCTGGAACTAAGAGCCATACACATGGCCCTAGAGAGATTCAGCAGCTTAGTACAGGGCCAGCACGTCCTGGTCTTAACCGACAACATCACAGCCAAGGCCCATATCAACAGACAGGGGGGAACGAGGTCCAAGCCTCTCATGCAGGAGGCCAGATTGCTGGGGTCTTGGGCGGAACTGAATCTTGCCTCCATCAGGGCGGAGCACATATCCGGAGTGGCCAACCAGCAGGCGGACTCACTGAGCAGAGCCACCGTGGACCATTCCGAATGGCAGCTGAATCCGGAGATCTTCAGAGAGATCATGGACAGGTTTGGTTCCCCAACCGTAGATCTGTTTGCCTCCCCAGCCAACTCACAGCTTCCCAGATTCCTTTCCAGGTTCCCGTCCCCATCAGCGGAAGGAACAGATGCACTCCGCAGTCCCTGGCCCAGGGAACTGCTCTATGCCTTTCCTCCACTACCTCTCCTACCTGCCACGATCAGGAAGATCCTTCGCGAACAAGCAGAGGTTCTCCTGGTCGCCCCACATTGGCCGAGACGACCTTGGTTCGCCGACCTGATGGAGCTCTCCGCATCCACTCCATGGAGGATTCCAGCCAATCGGATCTCTCTCATTCAGGGAGAGTTACATCATCCAGACCCTCAATGGCTCCAGTTAACCGTCTGGCACTTGAGAGGCAGGCCTTAGGCCTAGACCCATATTCGTCAAGGGTCATAGCCATGATCCAGCAATCCAGGCGACCCTCGACGAATAGAATATATGATGCCACGTGGAAAAGCTTCTGTAATTGGTGTTTAGCGCACAATATTGAGCCCTTACAGGCTACAGTGCCAGTTATCCTGGAGTTCCTGATGGATGGTCTGGACAAAGGTCTTTCCACAAGTACCATCCATAGGCAGGTAGCAGCACTTGCCACGGTTATTTCCTATGGCAAGGAGCCCTTAACACAACACCCTATGATACGCTTCTTCCTAAAGGGAGCTAACAATGCCAGACCACCAACGGTACATAGATATCCCTCCTGGGACCTTCATCAGGTTCTACAGGCTCTCGTCTCACCACCCTTTGAGCCTATTGACACTTGTTTGCTCAAACAATTATCAATGAAGGTGGCATTTCTGGTTGCTATAACTTCAGCCAGAAGGATCTCTGAGCTGGCTACCCTGTCAGTAAGAAAGGACCTGTGTATTTTCCATAAGGACAGGGTTACTCTCAGGTTAGATCCCTCCTTTGTGCCCAAGGTCAACTCCTTATATCATAGGTCCCAGGACATAGTGTTGCCGGACTTCTGTCCGAACCCATCTAATAACACAGAGGCTCAGTGGAACAGATTGGATGTTCGCAGGGCCTTATATTGCTATATACAGAGAACCTCATCTTTCCGCAAGACTGAGGCTCTGTTTGTGTCATTTCACCCATCGTCGTTAGGACAAAAGGTTTCCTCACCCACTATAGGCAGGTGGATTAGAGCTTGTATTTCTCTGGCATACCAAACTCAGTCACTTCAAGCTCCCAGCCATATCACGGCCCATTCCACCAGGGGCGCAGCCACTACAGCAGCCTGGTCTACCCAGGCGTCCATAGAGGAAGTTTGTAGGGCAGCAACATGGGCATCGCCCTCCTCCTTTGTCCGTCACTACAAGATGGATGTATACGCATCTTCTACGGCTTCATTCGGCCGCAAGGTACTAGAACACGCATTAACATTGGATGGGACCCAGACCCAATCTAATTTCCCACCCTAGGGACACAGGGCTTTGGTATGTCCCATCCGTGGGTTCTCCATCCAATCATGCTGGAGAAAGGGGCGTTGTCTTACCTGAACGCCTTTTCTCAGCATGATGATGGAGAATCCACTCCCTCCCATTAGGTCAGTTGGCCTGGTTCCCATTTGTTCAGACGCGTCGGACTAAAGTCTGGGTATCGCCTTAGTCTAAAACTGGGGTGCACTTGGCACAGAGGGGGCGTTACCAATTTCAGACTTAGTCCAATTGGAGCAGATAGATTAAGACAACCCATCCATGGATTCTCCATCATCATGCTGAGAAAAGGCGTTCAGGTAAGACAACGCCCCTTTCTCTCTGCTTGACCTACTAGCAATCAAATACCATTATGGAAAGGTCTGAAGCTATTTAGACCAATTCTGTACAGCATTTCTTCTGTCATCAGAAGGCCAGGAACTGGAAGCAAAACCTATTTAGTGTTCATTCTGTTCAGGCACCATGCACCGTTGTAACCCAGACCTGCCCAATGGCTCCCCATAGCTCACTCCATGTGTCTGAAGTCCACAATCAAGTCACTTATAAGAAGACTTTTTCTTCACAGGAGACATGCTAAACACAAACATAAAACAACAGTAAATACCCCACAGAAAAGAATGCATGTCTTCACATAATATGCCCACTTATACCTTGCATAAAAATTCTCTTCGGGGCAATTTTTGTCCTTTTTCAGGGCCCCCCAGCGATGAACGGGGGAGAGAAAGCAGATCTCCCAACCGTCCATGGCGGCTGCATGATGAAACCGTAAGTCGTTCCTTGACTTTCATTACAGACAGTCCTTGACTTACAATCACAACAGAGCCCAAACTTTCCATTGTTAAGCAAGGCAACTGTTAGGTGAGTTTTGCCCTATTTTGCGATCTTTTTGCCATAGTTGTTAAGTGAATCATGCAGTCATTAAACAAATCTGGCTTCCTCCATTGACTTTCTTTGTCAGAAGTCAGCTGGGAAGAGTACATATGGTGGTCACATGAACCGAGGACAATGCAACCGTCAAAAATATATGTCAGTTGCAAAGTGCCCAAATTTTAATCATGTGATCATGGGGTTCCTGCAACAGTTATAAGTGCGAAAAATGGTCATAAATCATTTTTTTCAGTGCCACTGTAACTTTGAATGGTCACTAAACGAATAGTTGTAATTTGAGGATTACTTGTATTAGTATTTGCAGATCTTTTCTATTTCAGATATCAAAGTATTGTCATCAGTATAGTCCAGATTATTGATCTTTCTTCCTCCAGTTGTAAAGTCACATTCATCTTCTTCCAATCCAGATTCCCTCAATACATATTAACGTATAGATTGAACAAAAAAAATAAGGAAGAGTATACAGCCTTGTCTCATTCCTGTGTGTGAAAAAGTTTACTCTGTTTCTTCTGGGTATAATAAATTTAAAGATGGAAAAGCAACTCCAACACATCATTATACATATATTGACAGCAGCCCGCATAGTATACGCTCAGTGTTGGAAGGGTGAAAACATACCTACAAACGATATGATTATATACAAAATTCTTGAATGCGCGGAAATGAATAAACTTACGCTAGAATTAAAAGACAAGGAGGCAACAGAATTTTATGAAATATGGAACAAATGTTATGATTGGCTAGAACAAAGAAAGAAAAAGACATGATTACTGATGTAAATAAATTGTAAATAATACATATGAGATGTGTAACACAGTTTTGTTAAGGGAAAAATGTATTTTTCAGTTTTATTTTTGTTGTATAATGAAAAAAGGAAAAATAAAAATAAAAAAAAGTTCTTAAAATCACACACTGCATCTAAAACTCATACGTCTTCTAAAGGTGGACTCCTTCATTTCCATAACAGAACCCAGCTTTAAAAAAAAGTGTACAGAATTTAACAGCTAGCTTATTATTGTTAAGAGGTGAAATTTTAAAACAGAAAGGAAAGTACGGTCAATCCCCCTGCAATGGCACAATGACCTTCTGGCCTTTCTGGGAAACAGAGTTCTTGCAAACAGATAAATAAATAAAAGGTAAATAAAGGCTTTGAGATCAGGTTGAGTGGGGATGGAGTTGGGGGGGGGGAGTGCTCAGTGTCCAGGGAATGTAGGCAAAACATAAGGGGTGAAATTGGTGCCATTTTCTCTGCATGTACTAATAGCAGATGAATGATCTAACAAGAGTTAAAATGCAATTTTAGAACTGCATTATTTGCTTCCTTGCCTGCTTTTGCTTCGAAAGGTACATGATTTCTTGTATCTATAATGGCATTTTTTTTCTCTAGCAGTTCTGCTGGTAAAAAGCCTCTTTTGTCCTAACAAGCAAGCTTCTGTGGGGGAGAACAAATGATAGGTGGAACCATTTAATTGGTATAAATATGTATGCTAACTAATTCATAAAAGTCTGAATATCAGGAATTGAGTAATAGATTCTGAAGAAATCCGCCAATCATAAATGCTCTGAAAATATGCAGGCCTTACCCATTGTAAGATGGGAGAGCACTGCCCACATTTTTTCCACACTGCATAATGATTTCATCATCGTTGCTTCTGTAAAACTTCCAGGATTCTAGATATACAACTAACATTGCATGATCAGAGCATTTTCAGAACAGGGCAAAAGTACAAAGTTTATTGCAGAAGTTAAGCTTTAATAACTTGTAGTAGTTTATTAAATTTCTGGCATTTATCCTCCATAAACTAAGGAACTCCTGTTCTTACAAAGTACTTATATATATTCCTGATTCTCTTAAAATCCCTGCTGGAGTAAAGTCTTTTACCTGCGGCTATTCTGGTGTTAAAGGTAAGTTTTTGAAAGGGTACGGGAGGAAAATGGGTGATGGAGGCAAGGGATGCAGCCTTGTAATTGGCTTGTGTAATGACGTTTACAAGTCTTCCACTTGTCTGGTTGAAATAATGAAAAGGATCGCTTCCATTTTAATATGCATATGTATATGTACATATTATTATGTATTATTATAGCAAAATCTGATCCAAATCAAGCTGAAAGAAAGAAAAGAGAATATAAGAATAAAAGAGCCCTATATCCTTGTATCTTTCCAATTACAGCTAAAGTGACTCAATAAGGGAGGACACTAAGTTCAGAAAAAACTTTATGCCCCTAAGGCATTTTAACCCGTGGCGTCCTTCCGTGGTGATCCTTTTCTCCGTATATGATCTGCCAGACATTTCAAAGGCTCAGACTGTGGAGCTCCTGAGATTGTAGAGCCCTGGAGCTCAGCCAGAAAATTCAATCTTAACTATTACTGGCAGGTTCGGCTTGTTTTGCAAATGAAAGCAAATATACATGTACCAGGATAATGTTGAAGAATCCAATCTGAATCAGTCATCAGGACCAAAGTTTATTCTTCCAGCTATGGAGCTCCTGCTGGAGCCCATCATCAGGGAACATATCTCTCTCTCTCTCTCTCTCTCTCTCAAATATATGCAATAGGCTGTTCTATGTGTTGTATTTATATGGTGCCCGGTTTTGTGTAGCTTTTAGTTGTTAATTAGTTCATTAGTTGATAGTTGGCTATTAAGTCATTGATGGTTGTTTTCTTGTGCTGCTGTGCTTGGCTCCTAAGTACTTGATAAGTTGATGGTAATTCAGCACTACTGTTGACTGATAATGGACCTGTTTCCCAGGCTTCAATCATTTTTCTGGCTATTTTTGTCTGTTTGGCCAACAATCATACTATGTTTCCCCCAAAATAAGACCCGGTCTTATTATTTTTCTTTTTTGCCTCCAAAAGAGGCACCAGATCTTATTTTGGGGGGGGGGAGTCTTTTCCACTTATCTCTGGCATTGACAGCCCCACCCAGCTGACCCACTTTTTCTGCTGCCAAAGGAGCAGCTTCATTCTGCAGCTGAGAATGGAGCTCCAGCCTGCATTTTGCAGTCAAAATCCTTTCTGGAAGGCCACTGCAGCTGAGAACTGAGCTATGGATTCAATTCATAGCTGGTTTTCAGCTGCAGAGACCTTGCAGAACCAAGCTATGGATTCAATCCATAACTCGGTTCTTGGCTGCAGTGGCCTTCCGGAAAAACCTGATTGCCAAATGCAGGCCTGGGGATGCCACAGAAGAAGTGGGCCTAGAGGAGAGACCTGGCTGCAAGATAAGCGGGTGCAAGGCATGTGGGGCAGCTCCACACACCCCACCCCCACCCTAGCTTGATTTTTAGGTGTGTGCCTTGCCCCAAAACTAGGGCTTATTTTGGGGGTAGGGCTTATATTAGGCCCACCCTCAAAAATTAAGCTAGGGTTTATTTCGGAGTGGGTTTTAATTTTGGGGAAACATGGTAGTAGCTACAAAATGGAATGCATGTCTTTATTGACTGCAGTATGAGACTCCCAATGAGTTTGGGTTTCCTTGTCTAGCTGCTCACTTGTGTTTTCACAATCTGGTGGTTAGCTTCCTCCCTGTCTATACCACAGGTTTTCCTATTGCCAATTTTAAATAAGCAAAAAAATAAAATAAACTCCAAAGTGATTTAAAAGGTGAGGTTTTTGTCAAACCTTGAGCCCATGAAAGGCTGCATTTGTAACTCAGAACACAATGAAACCCATGACTTCCCGTTGATTTTATGGTTACAAAAATGTTGATTTCTGCTGTGGTGAAAAATCAGCTGTGGTAAAGTACATGTGGGCAATTACCAGAGTTCTCTTTATTCCAGAGAAAATTTTGGCAATCAAGGTTTCAAGCCTGCTGCCTTTTTGGTTATAATGCCCTGCAATCCATGTGCAGTGGAGAAAGATGTGGGCAATAGTTCACTTCATTAGAAGTCCCCCACTGCAGCCCATCTCCTGACATTCATCAGTGCAGGCATTATTGGAGACCAATGAAATGTTGTTCTACATAGAACATACTTGGCATTCTGTGATTTTGTTACGGTTTCCTTTACAAAAATTTACCTGTTGAAGTTCGAACTTTCTACATATTGATCGGATTATATCCCTTCCTATTCTAGAATATTTTACAGGTTGCAGTTCATGTAATCACACATGGAGAATTGGGGGGAAATGAACACTTTGGCGCTTATTTCTGACCCACAAATCAGCTTCAACAATACAATAATGCAAAGTAATATATGTACCTGTCCTTTTCTTATAGGTCATTTGTTACCAAAAGGCATTATAGCAATTTCTGTCATTTTAATTGAAGCTACCTGCCAGAGATAGGAAAATGAATGAATCATTTCTCTCCAGTCCAAACTGTAGAAGCTTCCCACACAAGGTCGTCTATATATATAATTTCTCCAATCTCTGGCTACCTCTATTTCCACAGAATTGGCAGCTATGCCTACACAAGTCATCAGATTCTGTCAAGAATGAAAAAGTTCTTAACATTTTGGGTTTTTTTTTAAGAAAAAAAGCAAAAAAGATAACAATGGTGAGCTGTATCATCGTGCTCAATAAAATGGGTTTATCTTGGTGGTGATTATGTTGGATCTGGCTACTGCTTGAATAGAGTACGATAAGAAAACCAGGTCTGTAGACTAGGCAGGGAAGTGGATTTCACATTTTTAATCCTTTTGGGGGTGAAGGTGAGTATAAATATATAATAAACGAATACCTTGGAATTACAACACATTTTGCTTGGTTTATATTTCTGAGATGACCTAAATGAACTCCAGACACTTTTGTGAGATTTTGTTCATCCCTGGTAGGTTCTTGATTATACCACTATTTCTTTTTCATCTTTACTTTAGGATTTTCACCTGGAATTCTATACCTGTTATATTTACTCAGTTTCTCTCTCTTCCTACCAGGTTCTCTCACTTTGCTTTGAAATGACTCTTGTCTGTTTGTCAGATTTTGAAGCTTATGCTAAAAAGCATCTTCCCAAGCCTATCTGGGATTATTTTGCAGCAGGTGCTGATGAATGTTATACGCGTGATGATAATCTAATGGAATATAAAAGGTAGGATATAAACTAAGTCTTTGAAAGAAGATAGTGATTCCTAACTGAGTCAGATGTATCCACTTTGAGATGTAGCACTAAGCCAACTGAATGGTATTCTCCTGATTCACTGTCTGGTGCAAACTCAGATAGATATGAATGGTCTGGTATTCACTAGACTAGAAATTTGATTTGGGAAAAGAAATTGGCTCTGAATATGCTAACAACTGATGTTTCATAACACCCTAGTTTTGATGAGTGTTCTGGCCACTTCTCAAAGAAGTGTGTGAAACAGCCTAGCTTGCTACAGAGCAGCAGAAGTAATCACTCCTGGATGGTTAAACCTGAGTTTCTGGTTACCCCAGAGTTGTTGAAATAGTTCCTGGTTCCACTTGCACTATAAGAAACATCCAACCTTTCAAAACAGGAGGACTCTCGTAGCATTTGTCCAGTGGAGGTATGGCATGCATTTAGAAAATTTATAGCATACCTACAAATCTCTGTTTCTTAGCTAGCATGGTTCCTGCATTTGTGTGGGCACTAGGATGAGAAAACTAAGCTTACATAATAAAAGGACTGCCTGCCTGCAACTTTTATATCCAAACAGAAAAGATGGCTGTTTTCTCTCTTCTCTGTACTAGTGTCTTCTTCAGTATTCAGCAAGATTACTGTTCTTTGTCACTGAAAGATTTAACTGAGTAGCTGAGTAAATGCAAGGGTAATTTTTGTTTTAACAGACTATGGCATCTCTCCTTCAAAGGCCATTCGGTGTAGTGGTTGAAGTGCCAAATTCAGAAGTGGGGAAACCCAATTCCAGTTTTCCCAGAGGCAGGAAGCCAGCTAGGTGACTTTTGGCAAGTCCTTGTCTCTCAAGCATAGGAAGAAGGCACTGGCAAACCACGTCTGTAAATGTTCCCAAGAAAACAGCAGGTACATTTCCATGCACTCATGAGGAATCAAGACTAGCAATACCAAAAACACTCTCCTTCACAGGGTTGCATATGCATTCATATCTTCTTCATATCCCTTACAAATGGAGCAAAATTGGTGCCACTGCAGGCCTATCAAATCTGCATTGAAAACTTCTGGACAACTAGATGGCAGCAATGACATACATACCACTTTTGCAGCACACATTTGGCTGCTCTCAGCCATTGCAGAATTCAAGATCCATGACAAAATCTAGGATGTTGCTTGAAATTATTATGGTAGATTGAATAATGGATAGGTAAATAAATGGATAAGCAGATAGATATGGATGTTTCATTTTTCTGGACTTTCTTCAGTAATACTGTATTTTCCCGAAAGTAAGACCTGGTTTTAAATTATTTTTGCCCCCAAAAGAGGCATTAGGTCTTACTTATGGGTGGTGCCTTATATTTTCCATGGCACCTGCCTTGGCTCACGGTGGGCAGCACCAACAGCCCCACCCAGCAGGAGCCCGCATGGTTGCTGGCCCACTTTGCACCGCCGCCACCACAATGAGGCGAGGCAGGTAGGGGAGGGGTGGAGCTGCCCCATGCACCCCACACCTGCTTCCTTCAGGCCCCCCCCCAGCCAGGCCATTCCTTGAACTCCTTTCGCTTTGGCAGTCCTGTTTCCTGCCAAAGTTGGAAGGTCTGACTGAACTTATTTTAGTCTCACGAACTCTGTTTCCCTGCAGCAGGAGAGAAACACGCCAGAGTTGGAAAGCAGGTGAAGAACTTTTTTGCTTTCAGGAAGAGGGAGGAGCTGGGCGATGGTGCGCCAAGCTCTACAGCAGTGCCAGGAAGAGAAGCGGCAGGATGGAGAAGGGAGATGCAGGGTGATGCAGGGCGGCAAGCAAGTGCTCTTCTCTGCCCTGCATTGCTGTGCAGGGCTGTTCCTCTCCCTGTTCTCCATTCTCTCCAGTGGCAGTGATGGAGGGCTGGCGGAGGGAGGCGGCGGTTATGGTGCAAGCCCTGGGAGAGTTGGCAGAGAAGGAGGTGGTAGCTGCCACCAGGCAGGTGATCTGTGGGGTAGAGCTTGAAGAGAGCCCTCCAGCGGCACACAGAGGCAGTGGAGCCTTTCACCATCACTCTCCCCAGGCTCCAAAATGGTGGCGGGGAACCAGGTCTACCCCGCCCATCCTCCATATGGTAGCATGGCAGTCCGGCTCAGGAGGGGAGTGAAAGGGACCAAGGAATGGCCTGGCTGGGGAGGCCTGAAGGAAGCGGGTACAGGGCATGTGCTGCAGCTCCATCCCTCCCCCACCTGCCTCACCTCATTGTGGCGGCAGTGGCGCAATGTGCCGCACAGCCTCCTGTCCCATTGTGACAGCCAGGTGGGACGGAGTGGGCGGGGTCCTAATTAAGGCTTATTTTCAGAGTAGGGCTTATATTAGGCCCATCTCCATAAATCAGGGTAGGTCTTTTTTTCGTGTTTTCCGGAAAACACGATATTACCTCTTATCAGTCCTGTTGCTTCTGCTTTCTCTTCATCCACAGAATCTATTTGCGGCCACGTGTGCTGCGGGATATGTCGGCAATAGATCCAAGGACTACGATTCTTGGCTCTGAAGTTGACTTCCCAGTGGGTATTGCTCCCACTGGCTTCCATGGTTTGGCCTGTCCTGATGGAGAGCAGAGCACAGCTCAAGGTATGCAAGAATCTTTTTCCCTAGCAACAGTAAAGGCCAAAAATAATTATCATATAATAAACTGGGATTTGGTATAAGATTATAATTGGTTCAAAAAAACCCAAACCATTATAAATCTATCTATCTATCTATCTATCTATCTATCTATCTATCTATCTATCTATCTGCTTTCAAACTTAATGGTAATTGTAATTGTACATTTATATATATAGAGAGAGAGAGCAGAACATACTACCTATTTCTCACAGAGTACCTGCATTGTGAGTCCACCCAATTTCTTCTAGTAGGGAATGACATGCATGCATGCAAAATATATGGCACTCCAGGAACAAGGGTGCCTTAAGCAACCAATCTGATCCCCAAATAGATAGCTAAGGAAGGATAAAAAAATAGCTGGAGGATTGGGCTACTCCTGCTTAAGCTACTTTTGGAGGTGGGTGCTTGCTTTGCTTTCCCCCTCTGCCATGAAGATTGTTATGGCAAGTATCCCAAAGGAGATACAATCTGGCCCCTTCCTACTTTGGCTTTGTATACATTCCTCTAATGCAGTGCTTTTCAACCTGTGGTACGCGTATCACGGGTGGTACTTCGGCACCTGGCAGGTGATACGCATATGATAGGTAGAAAAGCACTGTAAAAAAGTGAAAAAAATAAGTGTAAAAGTGTAGTGGGGGGATCAGCTAAAGTAAGGGCAACACCACACAGGTCTGTGGGAGAGTCAGTTGGAACTGTGGTGTTGCTGGGGCTCTGCTATGCACCCAGAATCCGTGCGGGGCTCCAGCTGATCAGCACAGGCCTCCAGCTGATTGGTGCTTCCAGGAGCAAAGCCTTGGGGGGGAGGAGTCAGCTGGAGCTGCACCGAAGAGAAAAGGAGGAGGAGGGGGGAGAGAGGAGAGGATATAAAAGGAGGAGGTTTTGGTGGGAAAGGGAGGAAAAAAAAGACAACAGGGAAAGAGAAGGGGACGGAGAAAGAGAGATGGAGAAGAGGAGAGGCTTCTTTGAGACACACAGAGGGAGAGAAGGGGATGGGACAGTGCAAAGATTAATGTCAGAGAAACAGAGACAAGTTTCCTATTAAAAGTGTGGTAAGTGGGTATACAGATAGTCCTCAACCTACAACCACAATTGAGCCCCAAATTTATGTTGCTAAGTCAGAAATTTGTTAAATGAGTTTTGTCCCATTTTACGACCTTTCTTGTCACATGTATTAAGTGAATCACTGCAGTTGTTAAATTAGTAACATGGCTGTTAACTGAATCTGGTTTCCCCATTGACTTTGCTTCTCAGAAGGTTGCAAAAGGTGATCACATGACCCTGAAACATTGTGACCATCATAAGTATGAATCAGTTGCCAATCATCCAAATGGAAATCATGTGACCCTGGGAATGCTGCAAGGATCATAAGTGTGAAAAATGGTCATAAGTCAATATTTTAGTGCCATTGTAACAGTCAGTAAGCGAACTGTTGTAAGTCAAGGACTACCTGTACTTTATCCCTTTTTTTCTTTTGGGGGGGGTCATCAAATTTCTGACACTTTGCTAGGCGACTGGTGGTACTCAAATATTGCCAATCTTAAAAGTGGTACAATCTGTGAAAAGGTTGAAAAGCCCTGCTCTAACACAGTCAAATGAGCATGGCCTAATTACTGTAGAATTCTGACTAATATAATTAATATAATATAATATAATATATATAATATACTATAATAAATATAATATACTATAATAAATATAATATAATATAATATAATATAATATAATAGTAGTAAAGTTGGAAGGAACCTTGGAGGTCATCTAGTCCAACCCCCTGCTCAGGCAAGAAACCCTACACCATTTCGGACAAATGGCTGTCCAGTCTCTTCTTAAAAACTTCCAGTTCTCAATAAAAAAAAAAAAAACTTCCAGTGTTGGAGCATTTACTGCTTCTGGAGGCAGGCTGTTCCACTGATTAATTGTTCTCACTGTCAGGAAGTTTCTCCTTAGTTCTAGGTTGCTTCTCTCCATTTACATGCACATGTATATAAAAATGGTATGTGAATGTGTGTATACAAGAATTATGTCCAGCCAGCCATTGCTTTCTTCCTCAACAGGATGGCTACAACCTTGCCTGTGACTGTCTACTCAAAAGTCCAGCCAAGGTATTTCATTTGGCTCCATGCCAGTATTAACAGCACAGCCGCTTACTGTCAGGGAAATGGGGCTGGACTTTTAAGGCACTCAGAGTTAGGAAAATATGGACTAGAAACTTGCAACAATGCAGGATAATGACTGATAGACTTCTATGTAGAAGTCCATTGCTAATACATTTTTTTCCCCCAATCACCTAAATGACAGCTAGGTAACAAGATGTTTTGAAGTGGGCAATGTCATAACAAGAGATATTACATCTGATGTAGCAGCAAATGGAAAAGTTCTCTGCTGACTTGCAGACATTGCCAAGGGCTGATTCTGAATCAGGCCATCGTCTATTAATCATAGAAAGGTATCAGACTGAAAGAGACTTGCAGTAAAGAGGATTAAACTAATGAGATACAACCTTGAATACATTTCTGAAGAATATGAAGCTAGAAACAGTTTCAAAGACCTGAAACTTGTGGACAGAATATCTGAAGAATTTTGGGGAGAAAGTAAAATGATCGTAAGAAAGAGAAAACCAGAAAGCATATAATAAGACACAGAAAGAAACAAAGGATACACTGCTTTCAAACCAAGTTATAGAAAAAGCTAAGAAAAAAAAAAAAGAACTAGCCAAAGCCACTGATTTGGGGAAAACTAATACAAACTTCCAAGAAGTGATAAAGTGGTATACCTGAAGTCAAAATATAGTTAAGGAGAAAAAAATAACACTGTAAGAAACACAAGGGATCTCTATTTAGGAAAATTAGAAGAATCATGGAAAGCTTCCCACCTCATCTCAATGACATGAGAAGCAAACAGAAAGGAAGGAATTAACGGAAAACATGTATAAGAAAGGCAACTTAGGTGAGACCATAGTCAAGAAAAGAATCTGAGGATGACCTTGGCAGGAGCAAGTTCAGATGAACTATAAACATGTGGGCAAGTAGAAAAGCCTTAAGAGTGGATGAAATCTCCACAGAGTTCTTAAAGGGGCTAAGATGGAAGCAATATAGAACAAGTCAGTCCCCTCCCCATCAACAGATTTGGGCTCCACACAGAAATAAGGTCTAAAATTGTTGCAGTTCCTAAAATGGGGAATTTAAAGGAATGCTATTACTATAGAATAATAGCCTTAATATCCAACAATACAAGGTAGATGCTGTTGAGAATCCTTCAGAAGAGATTATATTGCAGATGAACAGGTAGACTTCAGAAGGAACAAGGGAATATAAGGTCATATCGCTAATATTAGGTGGATGATGGAAACAGCACCAGAATATTAAGAACAGCCTTACTGTTTAATAAACTGTTTCAAAGATTTTGGAAATCTCTCAGAGCAATGTGTATGCCAAGCATCCAGTTCTTCTGATACAAAATCTCTAGAACAGTGGTGGCGAACCTTTTAGAGACCGAGTGCCCAAACTGCAACCCAAAACCCACTTATGTATTGCTGAGTGCCGGGTGAGTGTGGCCCGCTGGGTGGGTGTGGCTATGGTGGGCATGGCAGTCTGGGTGGGCATGGCCAGGGTGGACATGGCCAGCTTGATGTTGCTCCTGGGGAGGGATGCCTGTGGGGGCCGGGCAGGGTTAGGGGAGATCCAGGGGGTCTCTGATGGGTGGGGCAGTGGGCAGGAGGGCATCTTGCTCAGATGATAGCTGGGGGGGGGGAAGAGGTAGCTACATCCTCTCCCAAATGCTGCTGTCTCACAAAAGCAGGATGAAAACGCCACAAAGTGACAAGGAAAAAAAGTTAAAACAGAGGAGTGTCTCGTGATGGTTTTCTTCCGAGGGGGAGAGGTGGTGAGGGGCTGTGTTCTGTGACATGAATCAAAATGCCTTAATAATCCAATCACAAACAGATAAACTCAAATAAAGATGATTCCAAAACAGATATTTATTCAGTCAGAAAACAATACTTGCTATTTGTAGATTCCCTCTAGATATTGCACATCTGTTCATCTTCATTGGTAAATTCATTAGATCCTCCACATCAACTTCTTATGTGGAGTGGGACCATCTGAGTCATCCGATGGCCCTCATGCTTATCCTCAGACAAAGATATTCCAAACTGGCACATGGCCCGGATTTCCTGTGATGAGCTTAGTGGCTCCTCCTTTCCTCCTACCACTGACCTATTAACATGGGATAGCTAACTAGCTAAACTACATTACCCATAAGCCATCTCTTAAGGAGACACCACTTAACCCAATAAATGCCAACATTCTAGCATACAGACCTACATGATCCAGAACACTCCCTGCTTGGAAATTTAAATTTCCACTACTAACTAACTGAAATAAGCAAAAAATGTAGCATTAAGCATGCAATTCTCATTGCTACCTAACTAGTGACTAAAATAAGTAAAAACATAGTATCAAACATGCATAACTATAAAGTAAATCGAAAACATGCACAATTATAACATAGATAAACAAGTGTTACATCAAACAATGCATAAACACAATACATAGTTTGAGGTTCAATCTTCTAGTTCGCTCTTCGTCAGCAACAGGACCAAATCGGTGATCAGCCTGGTGCAAGAGTCTTTGAGTCACGATCTGACTCACGTGGCTTCACGATCTGGACCTCAGCTTGGCGAACTAGTTCATCAAAACTGGGTGGGGCCCGGTGCACAAGTCCCATGGGCGAATAGTTCTGGTATGCATTCTTGTCTCTCAGCAAGACAAGGTCTTCTTCCTGTAAAAGAAACTGGAACCAAATCTGGAACAGAAAAATTGGAACCCAAAATTTCTCAGGAACGAAGGAACTTGGATCCACATGATGCTCAGGAACTGAAGAACCTGGAAGCACAGGAAACTCAGAAACAGCAGGAGCTGGAAAAACAGGAACAGCAGGAACTGGAGAATCAGGAACATCAGCAG